TACCAGATTTCTCAGTGTTGTGTTTTGAGTCAAACAGATTTGTGTCTAAATCCTAGGAGTTTGGGCAATTTTAAGTGTGGCTAATTTCTGTCTTGCAGCATTTTGAGAAAGAAAATTTATGCAAGTACTTGATGCTTTGCACATAGTACTTACTAAATAATACCTTTCGTCCTAGGAGACAAGTGCTGATTAGTAAATTACCCTCCTCAATTCATTTTATACTTATTTATATGGATACCCTTCTCTCCCTCCCTCCATCCCTTCCTTCCCTCCCTTCCTTCCTTCCTTCCTTTGTTAGTGGAAAAAGGGTCTATTTTCTTTTCCAAGGCTAATTCTTATGCCTGTGCTCTTTATTCCATTTCTTCCCACTTCTTGGTGAACTTAAGTTGTTCAGCATTTGGCCAGAAATCGTAGAATTTCTGGGAGACAAGAATCAACCTAAGCTTTTATCCCAAAATGTATTCAATTTTATCATCAAAAATATAAAAAACTTTCTCTCTTGTTCTCAGCTTTGCTTCTATTCTTTCTTTAGTCCGTAAACATGCTCAAGCCTTTCTTACCTAAAGAACAAACCAAGCTAAATGTTTCTTATTGCTGCTATACCACATTATTATTAACCTTGTGATTTCAAACAACACAAATTTATTATCCTACCATTTTGACTTCAGAAATCGAAAATGGGTTAGCGGAGTTGCATACCTTCTGGAAGGCCTAGGGGAGAATCTGTTTTTCTTTGCCTTTTCCGGCAAAGAAAGAGGTTGCCTGCAATTCTTGGCTCATAGCCCCATTCCTCCATCTTTAAAGCCAAGGGTATAGCTCCTTCTCCTCTGATTTCCTGCCTGTCTCTTAAAAGGAATCTTGTAATTTCCTGGATCTTCTAAGATATACTCCCCATCCAAGATCTTTAACTTAATCACATTGGCAAAATTCCTTTTGCCATGTAAGGTAACATGTTCATAGTTCCAAGGATTAGGATGTGGACATCTTTGGGAGGCCATTATTCTGTGTCTACCATACTAAACAACCCGCTTTCCCTGCAGCCACTAATTACTCTTCTCCTTCCCTTCATTCCAGACTTAACAGCTGACAATGAATTACGGGCACTTTCTCAACTTCCTCCCCTCTTATGCATTCCTTAACTTCTGTCATTACATGACTTCTTCCTGGACTCTTCAATTCAGTTATTCTTTCTGTACCAAATGCTGTCTAGTTATTAAATCCAATGGATTCTTTTCAGTCTCTTGGCATCACTCGACACTTAAGACTACTGTCTTTGAAATATCTAATTTCTTTTTCCTGAATTTTTAAATCTATACCTTTCTGCCTTTTTCCTTTTTTTTTTTTTTTTTTTGACTGTTAGCTGTTTTTCAGCTGACTCCCAAGTTTGTCCCAGAGTGTGTTTTCAACTCTCTTTCTTCTACATGTTTTCCCTTTGTGGTCATTCTCACTTTATAGCAGGACTTCAGCTACCACCTCAACATTCACTCCCAAGTCCATGTTTCCAGCACCAAGACTCATCTACCACCTGAAGACATACATATCCA